ATGCATATTAAACCTTCTCGAATTGCAGACCACATGTCCAAGGCCAGGAAAAAACCAGTACAATTATAGGATATGTTGAGGATCACTAACAAGGTCTGATTTTTTCTGTAACTAAGATATGTTCAGGATCACTAACTGTCAGAGTTTGTTCCTAATACATGCTCAGTATATCTGTATTTCATAGATTATTTCAATTGAATTCATAGTTAGTCAGAGTATTTCAAAAGGATTTGATGAAAATTTCAGTCTCTCAGAGTCTGTTTTATGTGATTTCAAAGCTACCTGCTTTCTAGGCCCATATAAATGAACTATTGTAACTTGAGGTTCTCACTTTTTAGTTAAATCAGTTTTCTCTACTGTAAATTTTTATACGAGCGCCCTACTTGCTTGGATCTGTCAATATGCTTCTTTTATCATTCAACCACCTTGTTGTAAATTAATTGATTGAACACTCTTAGTTCTTATAGTCTTAATGTCATTTTTAAATGCCACATGTGTGGAGAAATTAGACAAAAATGAGATATCTGTCGTAGAAGAACCAAAATATGAAGGTGACGTACAGTTACAAATTTTATTGAATTTGAATGAATATGAAGAACCTAAATTGATACTAGAGATGCACTGATGCATTAAGTTGTGGTAAATCAGAGTTCCCTACATTGCAAGCTGAGGTCCCACGTTGAACCACATGCAGCCAAGTCAATATGAGATTTTAAACTAGTTTATAAATAATTAAATGAGATTTTAATGAGATAATTCCAACTATAAATTACATAAAATACATGCACAACCTAGGTCATTGTGACAACTTGTTAGTGATTCACAATACCTAGGTTTTTGATTCAGCCCAAAACTTGAAACCCACTACTCAAGAAGCCTTCAGCCCGCGCTATTCATGCACATTATAGCTCATTATTGTTCAAGCTTGAACCAACGTTTCTTAGCCGCCCAACTACGAAATTAGTCCCCAATATCTATTTTTTTTCTTCAAATTTCATATGAAATTTAAATTTTCGTTTCTAATTCAACTTTCATCCGAAATTCAAATTTCACGTACTTGTGAAACACTCATGTTACATTTACCCTGAATAAAAAAATTGAGGGTTGATCTCCTAGTTGTGTCGTGAAAAGGTATGCAGTAAGTTTATGCTTAGTATCATGCTATTTTCATGTGGTTTTTATGAACTAGAATGCCCGATCACATCTGATGTCATTGGTTGGTCTCTTTCAACAGTCTAAAACGTGAGAGATGCGTAAGGTCGCTCACAATCACAATTTTCAGAAACCTTAATATTTAATGGGTTATTATGATTCCCACCTACGACTAAAACTTTTAATACCTAACACTGATTCGTCCTCTCTTTATATAAACAAATGACTTATGCACCAGAAATAATTTCAAATTCCATGTTTCACTTCAAGTTCATGTGAAAGTGGTATTTTGAATTTTCAGTTCGATTTAAACTTTTTTTTTAATACTCTATTGTGCTGGCATTGTCTTGGCATCATCTTCTTCTAATGCAACCGAAACCTTGTAACCCACTATTGGTCAACCTAGAAGCCATTCTTGTAGCTTGAAGCCCAATTTACTTAGCTGGTCCACCATGAAGAGGCCCCACCAATTTCACCTGTCTTAAAAAAATCTCTCAACTGCAGAAATCCAATCTAGAAGAATCTGTGCAATCATTATAATCTTATTTACTTTTTGAGCATCCTGTATCGTTTGTTAGGTTTTTATCTTGGACATTCCATTGCAGTGGTTCATGCTAAGAATTATATCAAAATCTAGAGGTGTCATTCAAAGCTTCTTGGGGCTTCTTGGGCTGCATCATCTTCTATGTATCTTTTTTTCTATGATTTCTTGTTGATGTTTCTTTTTCTCTCTCATTCACTCTTCTGTAATTTTTCTACTGCTGAGAGCGAGAAACTTATCATCTTCTTCTGACTCTCTTGTTCCTTGAAAATTGAGCATCTCCTCAGCTACTACTGTTATTCTACTTAACCACTTAAGTTCAGTTCCTTTGGCTTCTTCAATTAACATTTGCACTGGTTACTACATTCTCACTGTCAGTGAAGCTCCATTCAATGTGCTCTTGAGGATGGTCTCGTGTGTCCTCTTCCGCTTGTCTTCTTGCAGCTTTGACTGAAGAGTTGCACTCAGTTGCGTACTGGTGTTCTCTCGCTGCAGAAAGTTGTTTTTCCACCCCAGAAGGGAGGAAGGAATTGGGGTATGGGGTGGAGGGGACCTCCTGGAGGGTGGGGACAGTAGAGAAGGAAGCCCTAAGAATGCCCAAGCCAATCAGGGCCGAGCAGCCACCCATTGGTGAAGGTGGGCGTCTCAACCCTCACAAGGTCACATCAGCGGAGAATCTCAGGGGCAGCACAAGGAGAGAAATTTGGGGGAAGCGATTGTCAGGTGGTTAGTGTCTTGTCTTGCATCTGACGAGAAATCCCATGCATCCCCAAGTTCTCTGCAGCACACGTGGTGTCTTGTTCCCACATCCTCCCTCTTGTGTGCATCAGAACAGATATATAGGTGCCAGAATCATCACACCTGCTGCTTGCCAGAATGATCACTTGAGAGGGTGGGAGCACAACTTTCCTTTCTTGGTGCCCTGGAGCCCACTTGTGAAGCAGGTGAAGTAAGAAAGGGGGGGAGGCGGTCTTGTCACACAACGGAAATTTCAAGAATTGATCACTTGATCACGTTTCAGCTTTGGCAGTGTACTGTAAATGCAAAATCAGGACCTTGAATTTAAAACAAATGTGTCTTAGTTGAAAACTCCTGTGTCCATAACATCCTGTGTCACAGAACGAACACATTTCACCCTAAGAGTCTACAAAGCTTTCATCCTGTGTCCATAACATCACAAATAGAATCCACCAGAAGGAGAGAACCTCCAAAATAGAAGGAAACTAAAAAACTCATTCATAAAGATATGCCTTCTCTTGTGTACAAGAGCAACCGAACTATAGAGTAAAAATTAGTTATTACTAAATTACGAAGAAGAAAATCTTTAATGATCCATGAAAATAAGGAGAAAAGAACAGATTAAACCTTGCTATAAAAATGGAAGATTCTGTCAAATGCCCCCAAAGAAATAGCAATGCCCTAAACAGAATATGAGGATATTTTATAGGAATACAATGTGCCAATAATAACACTTAGGCTCACTAAAACCTTCATGCGCAATAGAACAATTTGAAGTTAAATTTTCGCATAAGATAGTCCTCGTGCCTGTTTAGTCTCTTATTGACTTCACATGCTTGAAAACTTTATTGCATTTCATTCTATGAATTTTTTAACCTTTTAGACACAGATCTTATTTGTTCCTACACCTTGATCAAAAACCTTCTGTTCCTCATGTAACGATAGTTTCTGGGTTGCATCAGTATTCATAATTAAAGATTTACCTCTTCTTACTATTACAGGAGTTTCTTCTTTAGGAAAGAAATCAATCTTTTCCTTTATTGCAATGTTGACTTACCATACTACTAACTGACACAGCAATAGTGTTGAAGGTAATGAAGGTATAGAAAATCTCAATACTCCAATCTTGAGGAAGAATTCCGTCACCAATCTTGATGATAGCTCTGTGTTGTTTGCATTGTAATTAATCTTCCATAAAACATGATATTTGGTGTAGAATGTGGGTAAAATTGTCATATTTGGTTAGAGCTCAACTGTCAAAGGAAGATTCTATTGCAATTGCTTTTCTTCTGGAATACAACAATTTGAATTGTTAATAGTTTTATTCACTACTATAATTTGGCCATCAGGTTGTCGGTGAGTTGCACTAGTGAAGATAAAAAAGTGTCAAACCTTTTCAAAACAGCTGACTGGAGGTGAGATATAAACTCAGGAACTCCATTGAAAAAAAAGTCTATTTAAAAGAACTGTATGTAACAAGTTTGGTAATCTAAGAACTTTATTTAAAGTAGAAAATTTTGATTGCAAATATTCGGTTTGTAAAACCTATCATATTATTTAGCTCCTGATTCTTTACTCACTTTCCCTCTAACTTTCCATCCTGATTTTTTTTCACACCATCATGAAATCTTTTGATAATATCTAACATCTGGGTGTGTAATTTAATTATATCTAACATTTCATCTGGGTGTGTAATTAGGAATTTTAATTTAATTATTAAGTTCCATCTTTGTTTACAACAAGTACAGCAGGCATCATAACTTTGGAATAAGATTCTAAGACAATATTAGTAATATTTTGCTCCTCAAAAAGAAGCAAACCATCCCGTATGGCCATAGCCTCTGCCTCAGTCTTAGTTCGTATATTGTAAAAGTTTAAAAAGGCAAAGAGAATGTATCATGTACTAGGGTTGCCTCTAGATGCTCCATCGACAGATCAAATAGTAGTTCATTGTGTACTTCTAACAGGCAAAGAGAATGTATCCTGCACTAAGGAATGAGTACTTCGAATCCATTGTGTTACGTTCCTCATAATCTCTGTGACACGCATCACTTGGCCTGCAAATCGAGATGAGTTACGTCCCTTCCATATTTCTCATAATATATATGCTATGGCGATACGGATAAACAGACTAAGCTTGACACTCGTCGGAGAGTCAATCACTCTCCTAAAGACCTCTAGTGGTGGTCTGGTAGGTCTGTACAAGACCATTGGAAGCAATTCGCTAGAAGTTGATGCTAACACTCGACAGCGATATCACTATGGAAAAATAGATGTTCCATACTTTCGTTCGTCGTGATCGAGCAACAATGACATCTCCTTTCCACCTTTTGATTGGTGACAATCACTTCCACAGGAAGAACAAAACACGTCGGTGGGTAGTCCTCGGTGCATGAACTTCTAAAGGAAGAATGAAACACGAGGTGTGATGGCCGGATGCCATATGAGATTTCCCCAAAATGTCTTTGGAGAGTGGTTTCTAAAGTGCTCCTAAGAGGGGCTACCAGAGAAACTGCCATCTACGGTAAGTGTCCAGATGGGTTGGTCTTCAGTAAAACTCGTCTCAGTCATGGTGATGGCTGGTAACATGTCCGATGGTAGTCAATGCCTCTCTTTAAGTAGACGAGTGTCTCCTTGGAGAAGCTGGGCTACTGTCCAGTGAGGCCAAGAGAATGTGAAAGTGGTAAAACTAGCCAATGGTGTGTCCTCTAGCCAAGTGTTGTACCAGGCACTTATCGCGCCTCGCTTTACTCGCCAATGAATAAGGGGCACCATCTCTAACCAATGTCGCTGCCAGTCTGCCCATCGTTTGACTCCTTTGATGTCACCCGGCTGTCGAGCCCACTCACCATATTTGGTTGAGACAAAAAAGCCTAGCACCGATGGTGTGGTCCTCATCCTCCAAATGAGTTTTTTTTGAAGAATGTTTAGTGCATCTTTAAGGCGTCAAATACTTAGGCCACCCTCATCCGTAGGTTGACTTGCTTTCTCCCAAGAAATTGACGTTGGCGACGAGGTCCCTTAAGTTGTCCATCGCAAAAGAACGACGTGCATAGCCATCTAATAGTCTGTAAGACAGTGTCTCGTACCTCATGGACTTCCAAAAGGTGTAATGCCATGCTCAAAAGGACATGGCGTATCAACTGAATCCGTCCTCCAGGGGATAGAAGCTGTAACTTTCATCCTGCTAAATTCTTCCTCAACTTGCCCACTAGGGCGTCAAAATAGTGTATGCGCTTACGGCCGAGGAAGATAGGACATTTTAGATAGTCAAACGGTAAGTGTCCACGAGAGAACCCTGTTAGGCCCTGGATGCGTCGTTTGGTCCCTATGGGGGTAGAAAGACCTACCATACCTACTCTTCGAGGCATTTACGAGTTGACCTGCAGCTCGCTCATACCTCGAGATAATACTGATGAGCCCTCTAATGGATGTCTCACATCCATTGAGCAAGAGTATCGCATCATCAGCAAAGAGGGAGTGTGAGATGATCGGACAACCCCTCTTCTCGACTAGCACCTCCATAGAGTATGGTCTAGTCCAAAAGAGCCGAATATGATTCGTGGGGTTGGAGTGAAAATAATTCATATGTAATCGCCTAAGTAAAGGTTGGATACGATCTGATGATATCATAGGCTCAATAAGACCTACTATACATAGTCGATACTGTCTGATAATGCTAGCTATATAGAATTGAGTTTCGAGGTTACTTATACCTCGACAATTCCATATGATGCTAGGTATCATGATCAAATGAGTGGCCCCACGAGTCCAAGATCTCGTGGAGTAAGGTTAGCGTCTAGTGAGTCGTGTGGTCGTAACCTCCGTCTGATATCGCTAATCTAGGTAGGTAGTCTCAATGTCAGTTTCAGATCCACCATCCTCATGAGTACTAGTCGTGTGACCACTAGTATCATGAGCATTAGATGAGGAGGATGGGTGCAGTGCTTGATCTGGCGGGTGGTGGATCAAGTATAGGGAACTGATCTGGCGAGTTTAGTGGGGGAGAGGGAGGGAGGGTATAAGAATCAGAACGGGGGGTTACGTAAAATGTACAAATAGGAAGTTTGCTGGGGGAAGGCCCTTTTAGTAGATCCTCGACGGAGATTTGAGGGGGATGGGTAGTGCCCAAGCCGATACCCTTAGAGAAAGGGGTAGACCTCAGTCGGTGGGGACTAAGAGGTGAAGGGCTCCTGCTATGTGGGGAAGAGTGAATGGGCGGCGAGGAGCTGGGTGGTGGAGAGACACTAATGGGTCGAGTGGGGTGGGTGAGTATGGGGGGTCGGATAGCCTGGAGGGATCTCTTGTAGTTGGGGATGCTTGCCCTTTGGAAGGCCTAGTTCTCCTCTGTGGAAGTCCCTCAAAGTCCCTCGAAGGTGTTTGAGGTTAAGGGTTTTCTTTCCCTTTCCTAAAGGGGAGTGTGTAGCCTCTTGTGTTCCTTTCTTGCCCCCTCTATGGATGGAAGAAGGGCGTCTAGCTGCCGGCTTTTGCCATGCATGCTATGTCTCAATCGATGAACTAGGCTTCTCCTGTGCCTTCCAAGGTAAGGAAGGTAGAGCCGCCATAGGGGGAATTGACTTCTGAGCATGATGACAACTGTGAGCATGATATGAGATCGGTACTAAAAAGTACAATGTGTGGCCGCTTGTGTTGTCGCTTGTGGTGTCCCCTCCGATTCTGGCCTCACGAAGACGCCAGCTGATGTCGAATCACGGACGTCCGTGGTTCGACCGTTCAGCTCATTTACGGCCGTCTCCTCGGTCACATAAACCGGCGGAGAGAGAAGGCGAGGACAGGAGGCCACTATTTCCATGTGTCGGCCTTCTGTTCGCTCACATTCGTCTGGCGAGTTTTCGTCTGGGTGACGGAGGTCACCTGATTAAATCTGTGAGCTACTCAACAACTAAGCATCAAATAAAAATTATATAGCAGAGAAAATGGTAAACGAGGCAAATACACTTCTATTGAACTAAAAAGTTCAGTGACGGAGGCCCGTGATGGCGACGAAATAGAAAAAAGTTCAGAAAATGCGGGTTTTTACTAATTAGATATTTGAATAACGTTTCTGAATAATAACAAATAATTCAGCTAGTAATGAAAATATGGTTTCTTGATCTTAAACCTGTGCAAGCAACAGAATACGGAGGAACTGATGAAGTTCTGAACTCTAGCAGGGCGTGAATGATGCGTTAGTATACTAATATAAACAGATTTATCTTGTGACGTTTTACACTTTCAATAAAACCTTAACTTTGTCCGATTCAAACTGATGCCGCAATAATGCAGAAGATAAAGAAGATATCGGCTTGAATCCGAAACATTGTAATCTTGGGGACAAAACTGATCGAGAAACTTACCTGTATTGCCAATATATGCAAAATGACAAAACCTAAATAAAGTTCTAACTCTAATGTATAGTTAGTAAAAAAAGGAGATGAAAACAGTGAAAACTAAAACAACTGTGCAAAAGAATAATCATGATAAATTAAGACTTTTTATCACCAGTTCCAATGCACAAAGGAACTTAGAAAAGAAGGGCTATAGCAATATAAAGCAGGATAGGAAACCCAGACGTAAATAAACTATGAACAACAGTTTATTTTTAAGTCGTCTTATGAAGGTCTGTACCAAGTGGTGTCACACAGAAGTATGACAGAGTACAAGTAACTCTAAATGGGCTTCAAACAAAGACTCTGAATAAAAGCTGACAAACTTGCAATAGACTTTGACAACGAGATATACTGAACAAATCTTGCCTACAGATTTGGACCTGCTGAAATCCAAAGCTGATCTAAGCTATGGACTCTGGCAGTCAGAAATCAAAAGCAGATCATACAGACAGACTTTGACACTTACAGAGCCTGAACCAAAAACCACATTAACCACCTTCTAAGATTATCTTCTGTGGACAATACGATTTTATTCTTTGTACCACAAACCCTATAGTGACGAATAAGTGCTTCTTTTCAGTGCTATTTCAATCTCTATTAGGCTACATCAATCTCTATTTTCTCAAGATAACTCGACCATCTCTGTTAGTATGGTTCAGTCTATAACAAAGATTTCTTCAGGATCTCTGATTGTCAGAGTCTGCTTTTGGTCATGTCAGAGTATTTTAAGTCTGTCGGTCAAAATTATTTGTCAGTCATTTCTGGATCCCTCTTTCTTGTGGAAGATAAGAGCTTTTATGGTTTCAAGCCCATATCTTGTTTATCTGCTGCATTACTGTTGCATCAGTTGGTATTCAATGAGGAATGGAAGCTCCGTGATGAAAGAAAAAAAGTATATTTGGTCACGTTCTTGCATGGACTTATATGTCTGTTACCTCTATTTTAGCGGCTGAGATCACTGTATTAAATGTGGAAAGGCCAATTGGATCAAGAAAAATTTTAAATTCAACAGTTGTCACCTATATAATGATGGTGAAACTCTTGGCAATATATTCTTATAAGTTAGGACAAATGCAAAAATAATAAGATTATGGTTCGTTCAAGCAGTAGTTAGCCATATATTGATTGTGTAAACTAGTGTCTCAGGAAAGAATATGGTAGATCATCTCAAAATATATTATAACAAATATAAAACAGCATCAAATGTGAATACAAAAACCCAATCTTCCAGGATATTTAAAGTTCGTTGGGTAATAAATCAAAGGGAAAAAATATAATGTGTTACGGCAGTAATGCGGAGAAATCTTGTTCTGAACCCACAGATTCAAACTTCAACCTTTTAATCTACAATGAGGTGCCTGAGTGAACAAATAAGAAGTGTTCCCTTATCGAAATATCAGCTCACTGACGTTGTCGAATAGTCCACAGTTTTCTTATTTTTTTCATTGTAAGAAAAACAATACATTTTTCTCTTTGTTTCACTCAATTCAGTTTTCTAGACTTCCGGTTACTGAAGAAGTTGAAACGTTGAATGAAAGACATAACTGTTTCCAGAATTGGAAATCACGAAAGATTCTATTTTTAGGCTATCCTTTTTTCTCTTATATTGCAAAGTTTTATACGTAGAACTATTATTTTTTCACCCTTTTTCACCTTTTTTCGTATTCTCATTTCCCTTTAATCATTTTAGAAACTTTAGCTTCATCAGTTCACTTAAAAATCATCAATCTTCTATAAAATCATGCAAATTCGTGTTGACCAATCTCTCAAAGCTGTGACATGTTCATCATCTGCTTTGATATCATTTAAGATGTTATAGTTGATCATATTCCCTTTTACTATAAATAAAAAGGTGATCAAAATCAAGGACAACAAATGAAAATTAAAAGGTTTCAAAACATAGTCCATCACTCTTAGAAAGGTACTTGGGGCGTTCGGTACGCCAAAACGCATGATCAACCATTGATAAACACCGATCTCAGTTTTAAGAAGATTTTCGAACCATAAAAAAAATTTAACTCTCTGTGTGGTATCAGCATGAAACCAACATGGCCTGGATAATGTCATGTGGCCAGCATCCATGTCAATAACATCACATTGTACTGCGTCACTGGGTGTGAAGTTTTTTGCAATGCTATTTTTTTAATCACTCCAGAGAAAATGTGTAGGAGACATATTTCATTTGTGTCCACACTAGTATAATGATTTTAATGATTATAGTGAGCGGAGACTTGGGCAGAAAGGTTTTCCCAACTTTTATTCAGTCATCCAACATGTACTGTAAAAGATTATAGTCATTAAACTGGGCAGAAGGGGCTGCAAAGCGATACTTTGTTGATTTTTTGCCTCCTTTTTTCATTTTGTTGATATATGATATTTTTGTCCACACTAGTTTATACACCAATACCTTACCTAATCTTCTTTAAATCTTGATCGTATTTTATGAAGATTTCAAATACACTCATTTTTTAAAAAGAAAAGGAAATGTACAGAGCTTTAATACACGCATGATGGTTTGATCTACTCATTGGGAGAGAGTCTTACTAACTCTGGCAAACTGATATAGAGAAATCTTGCTACGTCAAAAAGAATCCAACATTCAGAGTTCCATAAACTTGAATCCAAGATTTTGGATACGGGCTGAACCCTCAAATGCTAGCCTTAGGCCATATCTAATTGCAGGCGGGTACCTTTGGTGCAATAGATCTTCGGAAATGGAAATTTTCTCCCTGGGGGATGAAGGGAGAAACATGTTTGGCTAGAGCAGTGAAAAGGGATGCCATATTTCAAAGCAACTTTAAGCTACCAGCGAGTTCCCTCATTGATGCAACTTGGGAGAAGGCAATGTAGCGAGTGCCCTCATTGATGCTTGACATCTGCTATAGCCCAAGACAAAATTATTCTAGTGTGGAGTTTAAAGTTTGACTTCTACTGAAATATTTTAAGAGTATATGTTAATGATTATAATCGGTATAAAGTACAATCCGTATATTAGTGATGAGGTTGGATGTGAGAATCATGAAGCTAGACATGAATTAGTGAGAACAATCTGTATACTATATGATATGTCGTTCTCAATGCACACGTGAGTATAATCCCGGCATGCGAGTTGAGAGACATCCTTATTGACACTGATAAATGTGCCAAAGAATGAGTCTATTGCATCCAGGACTCCTCAGTTGAGTATGTGCGTTCAAGCCAGTCCTTCCTGAGAGTCTTTTTCTGAGTGATCCTCTTGTATGACATCCCCAAAAAAACATGGCCTGTCTCAGGCGCAAGTGGGGAGATCTCCACACCTCAAATCATGTAGATATGCAGTAATATAAACCCAGCAGTTGCCAAAAGCATTTGAACAAATTCATGAAGTATTGGAGCAAACTCCTCTTTTTCCAGCGCTCCTTCTTAAAGTGCACAAATGCCTTTTTCCCATGCTCTCCTTCTTAAGGTCTCCCAAGCCTTTTTCCAGCGATTTCTGTTCTCAAATCATGTAGCTTATAGGGTTATTTCTTAAAAATACAAATTTTTATTTAATGCTAGAAGCTTCACGTCATTCTGAGAGTGGGATTTCATTCGCACAAACTGTGAGGATAAGTTAGAGAATTATAGACTTTGTTTTAAATGGAAAATTTTACAATAGTGAACTGAAAATATTTGAAACAGGTGGTTGATTTGCATTGGCCTGGAAAAGCTTTTGAGTTCATGAAGTTAAAAGATCGCTCAGAAGTAGTAAGGTGTTTCTGCAAGCCAAGAGTTTTCTTCAGTACGGTTTGAGAACAGATTTGAGAAAAGATTTGTTGGGGACTGACGAAGACAGAACTATAGTAGAGTATGATAATAAGCCAAAATATGTGCTTGCTTTCTTAGTGTAGCCTATATTTAGTCCCTCTTTCCTACATTCTTCTACTATGATTACTTGTCGTACCTCTTCACGAGGAGTGACTTTTTTGACCCCAAGAGGAGTGACTTTTTTGAGGGTGTCTTACTTTACTATTATCTAAATTCCTATGGTTTCGTGTATAGTGGGCTAGTGATTTTGAGATAAGAAGTAGGCTGCGTTTTTTCCTTCTTGTTTTTTGGATTGAAAGCAGAGTGACAGAGAGAGAGAGAGAGAGAGAGAGAGAGAGAGAGAGAGAGAGAGAGAGAGAGAGAGAAAAGGTCAGTCCTATGGATATAGATCCATACCTTCTCAGGGGATCAAGCTGGCTTGAGTGTGAGAGATAATAGATGTGAACTGATTATTAGGAGAGTAATGATTAGAAGTGGTGTACTTGGGTGGGTCATACTACGGCATGTCATTTGTCTTTTTCTGATGTCGGTGTTGACTTACTGCAAGCGATACACCACTGCTTATCTCTGGTAGGTATAAGCTTTTGCTAGATATGATGTCTACCTTGTGCTTTTGTAGGCATATCGTGCAAAAATGTGAAAACAGATCTTGGACAAGTGCATACTGCATTTGTAGGAAGCGCGTGTGTAGTCTGATTCACCTCTTATAATTCGTGTGTAATGGCACTAATCTTATCAGTACGCTGCATGATTTTGCACTCGAATTATTGGATGATGCCGTGAAGGTGCTGTATTAGTCTTAAAAATCTAATAGTGAGAAAATATAAAGATAGTACTTCCTGTATAGTGTCGTAAGATGCCTCTTCCCCCTGTAGGTCCACAGTGAGCTTCATGTGCCCTTTCGGTGGTGGTCTCATTTTGATGGTGTTCATAGTGCCCCAAGTCTTTAGTGTCTCACTGACAGAGGTGGAGCGTGTCATGACAGGTGACATTACAGGAGGGTTATTCCAGAGCAATTGTGTGACGTGCCTTAAAATTTCTAGGGGACGCATTAACTGTCGTACAAAATGAGAGAGCTTTCACCCCTAACATGAACGTTATGGAAATACGTATGTAGAGGCTACCCCTAGAGCTTCGCGATGAATCACAGAGTTTTTGGAAGATCTCTAACGGTGTCCGCAAGCGAAGAGTTGTACTAGGAATTCATAGTGCCTGTTCCCACGTGCCACTGGACTTTACTGGATCTGAAGCCAATGTTTTTATCAATCCGTCCACGCTTCCCGCCTTTTATCTCTGCCGGTGGGTTAGCCTACTTTCCATAGTTGACAGACACAAAAGTCTCTAAGATTGATCTCGCCGTTCTCATTGACTAAACGAGTTTCTTCTCAAGTATGTTATTATGTCTTCAGGACATCGTTATATCTCTTCAGGACGTCATTTTATTGTGGACTTTTTCAACTAATATGAAGAGAGTGGGTGATAATGGATCACGCTACTATAAGTTTTGTGTGGCAGTGAATAAAGGGATGAAAGTACTATTCACCAGTAAGGAGAAGTAATTCTCCCTGACCCATGCATCAGCTAAGTCGATGAACTCGTCGGTGAATGCAAAGTGTTGAAGTATTTCAGTGTTGAAGTCTTACTTTTACATGTATTCAGGGACTATGTTAATTCATGGAGTAACATGATGTTATCATGAATGTGTTATACTTTAACAAATTTGCATTGCTCTGAAGATATGAGCCGATCAAGGAAAACCCTCAGTCGTTCTCTAATGATTATAGATACAACCTTATAACATACATTACAAAGAGTGATAGGCCAAAAGTCTCTAAAAAAAGTTGGGTTACTACCTTTGGGAGGAGGGCAATAAATGTGGTTTTTTACCTGTGAGGAAAGGCTTTGCGACAAAAGGATTCTTGGACGGGATATACTATATCTGTTCGAATGATCGATGAGCTCATATATCCTTGCACCTCTTCATCTTTCGTTACACTACATTTACACATCGCCAAAAGTAGAAAACTTGATGAGGGCCGCTTGAAAAAGAAAATCAGTGAACATCTCCATCTGACGGGCCTGAGAGGCCTGCC